GTTTCTTCTCTTTCTACTCTTAGAAGAGTGAGTCACACAGCATGTTTTGACCTCTGAAGATGCTCAGCTCCTCAAATTCTGGTTTTAACTTGCTGAATGGTCCCTCACAGTTAGATGGAAATTGTATTGGCTACTGGAAACTACTTGGTGGTGTTCCCCCTTCACGTGGCACCCAGCATACACACCTTTGACCCCAACACAACTTAGGGGGTGGGGGTGGGGGAAGAACCAGAGTAGGGAGGGGAAAGGACAAGAGCTGAGAACTTGCAGAGGGCAAGGTTCAAGCTGAGTTTCTCCAGGCCCAGGGGAAAGAAAGACTCCAGCTGCTTTAAGGAAACACATTGCCCTCATGTGCTAAAGAGGCTTAGTATAATCCCAAGAAAAGCACTTTTTCCTTTTGTGTCTTAGTCTTCTTATTTGCAAATTAGGGCTCAATTAGGGAGCTCTGGTGACAAGAGTTCACAGGAAGTGTTGCCGTTAACCCAAAGGCAGTGCTTCTCTGGCAGTTCAAATTCACTGGCTGCGAGGGGAAAGATGGACAATCTCATCTAGTGCAATTTATCCCCTGGGGGAAATGGGCAACCTCCTCCAGCCTCTGGAAGCCAAGCAGAGAGTTACTATGAGTTCTGACTTGACAGATATAAGTTCTGACTGGACAGCAGTGAATGAGGGAGAGAGTCCATGCCCTATGGGGCAGTGCTGCTTGGTCCTCACTGGTTGCTACAAGTTGGTGGTGGTGAATTTGGGTTTCTTGGTTTGTTTTTCACTCTGTGTTCTGGCCCTTGATAAAAGGCTTGTAGAATGCAAGCCGATCACTGTTGACTTTAACTCCTGATAACCCCATGTGTGTCAGAGTACAGCTGTGCTCCACAGGGCTTTGGGTTTTTCTCTCTGCACACACACACACACACACACAGAGTCTTTTTTACTTGTTATGCTTCAGAGAGCTGGAAAATGACTAAGGATGACAGAAGATGCTTTTGAGTTGTGCTGGAGAAGAGTCTTGAACATAGCATGGACAGTCAAGAAAACAAATGGGTCTGTCTTGGAGAGGGCGAAACCAAGTTTCTCATTGGAGCCTAAGATTTTGAAATGCTATCTCACATACTTTAGGCACGTGGCCAGGAGAAAGCTCTGTCCTTGGAGAAGGACATCATGCTCAGAAGGGTGGCGGGACAGTGCAGGAGAGGAAGACCCCAGATGAGATGGACTGACACAGTAACTTAGACAATGGGTGTTGGTATGTCCGAATTAGTGCGACTGGCTCAGGACAGGGCAGGGTTCAGAGCTGTTGTACATAGGGTCATTATCAGTGCCAGGCAACTTTACCATAACAACAGTCAACAACAACATATTATATTGGTTGGTTTTTTTTATTTAAGCTTCTTGTTTAGAGTCAACAAGACCTCATGGAGGAGCTTTGTAGTTAAAAGTAGGTTGTTGTTATATTTTGGAGGAACATTCTTCTAAGTGGTACAGCACTCTTCTGTCAATTTGCTGTACTGAGATAGCCTGGGGTTGCTGTGATGCTGGACCTTGTGCCACTGGGATGTCAAATGCCTTAACAGTTAACTCATGGTAAACAGTGTTTGGTGGAGGTCCCAGTTTAAGACAGGTTTGGAAGCACTTCCTAAACAATATGCCTCTAGGAACTCTATGAACTTTGAGAAACAACAATAGTTATAGAAAGACTTCAGGTTCATAGGGTCACTAAGAATCATGCTCAACTCTACGGCAATCAGCATCAACAACAATTCTCTCTCTCTCTCTCTCTCTCTCTCTCTCTCTCTCTCTCTATATATATATATATATATATATATATATATATATATATATTTGAGTGAAAGTTTACAAAGCAAATAAATTTCTATTCATTCATACACACATTGTCTTTCTGTAACCTCAGTTTCTATACTCACAGTGTAAGTTCATTTTCTCCACTTTCTCCTTGTCATTCTGATTTCCACTGACCATTCTGTGTAACTCTCCATCTTCTCTTTCTTTAGGTATATTGTGTTGATCATTCCTTTAGCAGATTTCCTCTTATCATCTTATTATATATGTTTTGCCTATTCACTAATCTTTACTTTCTTCCATCTCTAGTAACTATCCAAGAATGATTCTCTCTTTCTTTAGCTTTTGGTATAGTGGCCCTGTATAGTATTTGTCCTTTTGAAATTGACCTATTTTGCTCAGCACAATGTCCTCTAGATGCATCCTTGTTCTGCAGTACTTTGTGAAGTCTTCGCTGCTTTTTAGCATTACATACTACTCAATTGTGTGACTACTCCATAGTCCCTTTTTCCATTCTTTTGTTGGTAGACATTTGGGTTATTTCCATCTCTTTGCTATTGTAAGTAATGCGGCAATAAACAGCAATGTGTTCACGCGGAACTTCTCATTTCTTTAGGTTGTATACCCAGTAGTGGGATTGTTGGATCAAATGGAATATGATCTAGTTTAACCTCTGCTGACTGTACAGTTTTAGTTACACTTGATAGTCTATTTACAACATATATCAGCACTTTTAAATTTACCTCAACTTTTTATTTGATGATCTTTATAGTCTTAGGTTTGACACCTAGGTCTTTGATCCATCTTGAGTTAGGTTTTGTTTGTTTTATTTTTTATTATTATTGTGTGTGTCTGTACCATCAAATCAGATCTGACTGATACAGGAGGAGATTGCCCCTTCTTCTCCAGCAGAGCATCTGGTGGATTCGAACTGCAAATTTCTGGGATTGCATTGCAGCTTCTTGCCACTAGGCCACCAGAGCTCTCCTTTAAGTTAGTTTTTATACATGGTATGAGGTATGGCTCTTGTGCTCATTAAAAAAAAAAAAGATAACGAGGTTTGCCAGCAATACTGTCTTTTCTCCATTTAGTGGATTTCACTTATTTGTCAAAGATCAGCTGTCCATACATGGATGGATTTACTTCTGGGTTCTCAAATCTGTTCTGTTGACCTGTGTATCTGTTTCTGGGCCAGCTCCAGGCTGTTTTGATTACTGTGGCTGTGTAGCAGGTTTTGAGATCAGGAAGTGTAACACTTCCTACTTTTTCTTCTTCCAAAGTGTTTTGCTTAACCAGGATCTCTAACCTTTCTATATATGGTTAGTGATTGTTTTTTTTCCATCTCTTTGAAGAACGATGACAGGATCTGAATTGAAGCTCCATTCAAGGAAGTTACTGGTTTTTAACCTTGCTTTCTGAGAGTGAGGAGAACTCGAAGCACTTGCTGCAGAAGGTTAAACATAGTCGCTTTCAATATGGATTTCATCTAAATGTCAAGAAAACAAAAATCCTTGCCACTGGACTGATAAGCAATATCATGATAGATGGAAAGATGATTTAAACTGTAAACAACTTCATCTTGCTTAGATCCACCTCAGTACAATTTGTACCAGATCAGGGGACATATTGCACTAGGAAAGTCTGCAATCATGGACGACTGCTCCAAATTATTGGGGAGCAATGATGTCAGTTGAGGACTAAAGTGCACCTGATTCAGGCCATGATCTTTCTGGTCACTTACTATGCATCTGAGAGCTGGACAGTGAATAAAGATGTCTTTGAACTATGGTGTTAGAGAGAAGCATTGAATATCCCATGGACCTCCAAAAGAACAAACAGAAATGCTTGGAGAAGGTGCAGCCAGAGTACTCCCTGGAAGCAAGGATGGCAAAGCTTTGTCTCACATACTTTGGGCATGTTGAGAGGAGAAGCTATTCCTTGTAGAGTGACATCATGTTTGGAAAGGTGGAGGGAGGGTGAAGGAGAGGGTCCTCAACCAGGTGGATTGACACAGTGACTGCAGCAATGGGCTTGAATGTGTCAGACTGTGAGGATGGCACAGGACAGGACAGACTTCAGCTCTGTTGTTCTCAGGTCACTATGAGTTGTACTTGACACAACGGCACCTGACAAGAACTCAGAAGTTCTAGTACTACTATTACTGTTTTCAGGGTCTCAGGGACAGAACAAAATCCAGTCTTTCTTTCATCTGAGGAATTTTTTTGAACCAGGCACTATGCAGAACTGCCACTGTTGTTCCTATGCTGCAGATGAAGAAAATTAAACCTGGTCAATGACTTGTCAATCATTTGCCCATCCACCCGACTTTGATTAAGAGCCTGTCTTGAGCCAGGCTCTGAGCCAAGTGTTGGAGATACTAAGGTGAACAAGACCTTCAAGAGAGATGCTCATAAACTACTTTAATAACAATTCAGTGCATGCTTCAACAGACTAGGTGTGGTGGGAGACAGAAGAGGAGCAACTGACAAGCCTGGAGGTGAAGGAGAAAGCTAGCTGACCTCTCAAAGGGATCCTGTGTAGAAGTATCAATTAAAATTCCCCCTTCTGCAAATGCCTCTCTGTGTATTCCTAGGAAATTAAACTCCACACTCTTTCTCGGTGCCCACCTGTAAAACTAGTAAGAGTTTGGGCTTGAGATCTGTAGATCTGGAGGCACATAGACCTCTGAACCTCCCACCCACCTTCAGTCAGTTCAAACTGGTCAGTTCTGGTTGGGCCTTGCTTCTGACCTAACTATCCCCCTTGGAACAAGCCAAACACCCTGCAGCACTGGCAGAACTCAGTCTGTGCAAGCGGCCAAAGAGGCGGAGCTTCGACTAAGGGCGGGACTGAGATCAGAGAAGGAGCAAAGAGACACGCCAAGGGGCTGTTCCGCTCAGCCAATGGGTGCTCGGGGGCGAGGCCGCTCAGCCTCAGAGTATAAGAGACCGCTGAGGGGCGCGGCGCCAAGGTCTTCGGAGCCGACCTAATTCATGTGCCAAGGCTCTTCGGCTGGAGCTACGACCTCCGGCCGCGCAGGTGCGCGAAGCCAGTGCGTCCTGGGCTAGCTAGATAGGGCCACCGGGCGGTTTCGATCTTCCTTGGAACGACTGGACTGCGAGGACGGCGCGCAGCTGGGGGGCCTTCACTGCAGAGAAGCAGCTGGGCCCGGTCGGAGCCGCCCGCGCTGACCATCGCCGGTCTCCATGGCCGACCATCTGATGCTCGCTGAGGGCTACCGCCTGATGCAGCGGCCGCCGCCCGCCGCGCCCGCCCACGGCCCTCACACGCTCCGGACTCTGCAGCCTTACGCGGGACCTGGCCTAGACAGCGGGCTGCGGCCCCGGGGGGCTCAGCTCGGGCCAGCGCCGCCCCCACCCGGAACCCTGGCGTACGGGGCCTTCGGGCCGCCGGCGGCCTTCCAACCCTTCCCGGCCGTGCCGCCCGGCGCTGGCAGCGCGCACCTGCAGCCCGCGGCGACGCTGTACCCGGGCCGCGCGCCCGCGCTCCCAGGTGTCCCAGGAGGCCCCCTGGGCCTGCAGCCTGCGCCCGGCGCCCCGGCACCACTGCCGCCAGCGCACACCCTGGGCGGCATGGACGCAGAACTCATCGACGAGGAGGCGCTGACATCGCTGGAGCTGGAGCTCGGGCTGCACCGCGTGCGCGAACTGCCGGAGCTCTTCCTGGGCCAGAGCGAGTTCGACTGTTTCTCGGACTTGGGATCGGCGCCGCCCGCCGGCTCCGTGAGCTGCTGAGCTCCGCAGGCGCCTCCTGGCGTGCCCGAGAGAAGGGGGCCCGTTTGCCCCCTGGATCCTGCACTGAGGGACTGGGCCCCGCACGCGCCCTCCATGAGGGTGGAGGCAGCGGGTTATGCACAGAGTCCGAGACCCAGCGGCATCTCTGAGGCCCCTCCAGCCCCATTGGGGTGACAGTTTGGCTTTGCCTCTCCGACTTGCCGCCTTACCATAAACTGAAGGGGACTGAACCGGATCTGGGCATCCTCGTTCTTGGAATCTGTGCCCTCTCCACTTCCCTCCGATTCCCCCCCCCCCATATCTGAGCCATTCCAGCCGGGCCTCTGCCTGTTGCCCCCTCTCCTCGCTGAACCACTGCCGGGATTGGGTCCCCGGAGCCATCATCCACTGAGCCTCCTGCCCCGCTGCCTAGGTCCTGCGGGCAAGGGGCCTCCTGCCACAGGGAGGGGAAGATTATTCATCTCCAAACCCCGACAGAGCGGAGAAACGTCTCACCTGCCTCCCTCAGGCCTCCAAAACCAAAATAAAACTAGGTCACTTTACCATCTTGCGTTTTCATTTCCTTGTTCCTCCACCCCCATGTGTGTTTAGATTCCAAAGTTCTGAGGCAGTTGAGGACCCTGAGTGGGATGGAGGCCACCGCCCCTGGCAGTGCCCAGGAGAGGAAACAGACCGTTTGTTTCGAAAATAACTTGAGTTGTGCAACTGTTATGTCATAACCTGGAAAGCAAAGGCTGCGGCAGGGTGGCCGGTAACCTCGAGGGCACAGCCGTTGGGCTTCTGGGTCCTGGGGATGTGGACAGTTAGCAGTAATGTCACCGCCTGTCTACTTTGAGGGCTAGAGGAGAGCTGGGGCAGTCCTTGAGGATTCAGATGAACCCGGCTTTCAATCTAACTCTCCCTTTTCCAAGTCACAATCCACATTTTCAAAACTATTTCCTCAGAGGGAGACCGTCTCAGGTAGTTGTGAGCTAAGTGCAAGGAAGCGTTCAACACAATGGCCTCTAGCCAGTGTGAAGTACATATTAGCACCTCTAGGTCCCTAGGTGCCTCAGACACTACTGCTAACCTGTGTTGATGGTTCAGTCTCACCTGATGGTACCAGGGAAGAAAAGACCCGACAATTTGTATCCATTGAAATTCAACTCTCACAGTTCAAGCCCACTCCCATGGAGTCAGAACTGACTCATCTCCGACCCACCAATGGGTTTCTGAGGCTGTAAATCACATGGTAGGAGATGGCTCATCCCAAGAAAACCCTATGAAACAATTCTACTCTGTCACACAAGGGGTCACCATGAGTTACAACAGCATCATTATTCTACAAATTGGTGCTAGCTTTATTCCAGGTCCTGTGCCAACTTGCTCCATATTCCCACGGAGCCACAGTCCAGGTGAGGATAGGTGAGAGACAGACATGGAAATAAACTAATATTGGCAGAGGGAAAATGAGATGAGGCCTAGAAAACAGGTAGGCTGGCTAAGCAGGCCAACACAAGAGAGGGAGTGGTTTCAGCTGATTAAGTTGTTGTTATATGTTGTCAAATTGTCTGCAACTCGTAGCGACCCTATGTACAATAGCTTTCTCCTGAGCCAACCTTACTACCTCTGACATACCTACGCACATTATGCCAGTCACTGAGTCAATCCATCTCATCTAGGGTCTTCCTCTCTTGCACTGGCCCTCCACCCTTCCAAGCATAACATCCCTCTCCAAGAATCAGTCCCTCCTTGCAACATGCCTGAAATATATCTTGATGGAGCTTCAGAATCCTTGAGGCCGGTTAAGGGGAAAAGGCAATTCTGGTTTCTGGGAGATAGTGACATTGGACATGGTTATCAAAGCTTTGAACAATGAGCATGTTTTCAGTTGTTGGAGAAGGATGAAATTCAAGAGGAGACCCTGTTCAAAGACAGAGAGGCATGCAAGGACAAGGAGAATGCAAGGGAGCACAGGATGCCTGGCAGGGACAACCTTGTGGGAGAGGGACAATAAAGGTCTGCTGGCTTTACAATAGCGTGGACTTTGCTCAGCCTGGCAGGATTTGGCCTTAAAGTCTTGGACACCAGCATGAGCTCCTAACCAGAGTCTGCTGTTGATTCTCTTGGAAAGACCCCTGTGTGGCTGAGGGTACGGGAGTAGGCCAGTGCAGGGATGCCAAGTCCCGAGCTAGGAGGACTAGGCAGTGAGCCTGATGAGGACAACTGATTCTTCTGTCCCTGGTGGCTGGGCTTCCTCCAGGGCCAGGTTTGTTTGATGATGTGACTTTCCCACCAGTTATGAGTCAGTCTGGGGCACACTGTGTTGGAGCCGGATCTGAAACCACCAAGGCGTGAGGTGGGCGGCAGGAGGTGCCTGGCAAGTGAATAGAGGTCTCCCAAGGTAACAGAGCCTTCTGGAACAGGATGGAAAAGGAAAGCAGATGGTTTCTCGAAAGAGAGTGGACCAAGGTCTGAGCTCAAAGACGTCAGTGTTGTCCTAGATCGAAGACCCCAGGCCAGAGACAGAAATCAAGAGATGAGGCTAGATTGGGATGAGAGGTTCAGCCCTGGACCTGACTGTGCCCTGATTTCTTTCTCTCTAAGACTCACTTTCTGCACCAGGAAAAAGGACTGAGTATCCTTGCCCTTTTACTTTGTAAGGTAATAGATGAGGCAAAGCTGATCATCTCTAATGAGTCCTCCATGTGGGAAGAACTGCAATGCAAACCCAACGCCTCTATCTTTGCAGAGGGGCTACTGGCAAGCCAGACTGCAGGCAGGTGGACAAAGGATGTCAAAAGGCTCCCCTGTCCCTATTCTTGGGAGGCTTTGGACCTAATCAGCAGGACGGGAAGGTGGGTCTTTTCTGACAGTATGGAGAGGAAGTAGAAAATGTATGTTCTGACATCCTCGGGGCTCAGTGCAGCAGTGGCTCTTACTGGACCTCGGTCAAAGCATTTCATCCTTTGAGTCTCCTCTACGTGAGTCATAACAGCTTCCTGTGGTTCTAGTGGGGTGTCTCTCGCCTCTTTCTTGGGGTCACCCTTTTAAAGCAACCTGTTGACACTCCTCTGTCTATATGTGCTCTTATACCTGTGCTAGGCATAAAATTTACTCTTATACCTGTGCTGGGTCTTTGGGCTCAGCTCTTTTATGACTGGAATCAGAGTGATGGCACAGACGACATTTTTACCTCCTTTTTTACCCCTCAAAGTTCTTTATTTTAATAAATCACCTTTAGGTTGAATTTCACTACCAAATAGTTTTCTCAAGAAAAGCATAACTTCTCTAGGCTTCATCCATAATATGCAGATGGGAATAGGACGAGATCGGAGCTGCTGAGATTAAACAATTTGATGCACAAAATGTGTTTAAGCCAGCACCTAGTCCCTAACACAATGTGTTTTGTGCTATTCTGGACCAATGGGTTTTGGGGAGAGGTCTCAAGGTGGTTAGTGGTTCATCAGCACCACAGAAGAAAGGCCTGGCAATCTGCTTCCATAAATATTATAGTCAAGATATTCTCTATCACGAGTTAGCAACAATGACTTGTTGGTTTGGGGTTTTGTTTTTTTTCCCTTTTCCTATTAAAATCTTCAGTTTGAATTTGCATGTGAGTAGTTGCTGGTCTGTTCTACAGTCAGCACCTGGCCTAGTTTTCACAGCTGATATTGAGTTTTTCCAATTAATCCAATTCCTGTGTAGACCGTTGGGTGAGGTCCATGTGTATGTTGTTGTTGTTAAATGCCATCGCCTGTGACTCATAGCAAACCTATGCACTGAAACTTGCTCTATCCTGAGCCAGTCTCATTGTCTCAAACACACCGATCTCAATTACCCCAGTTACTGTGTCAATCCATCTCGTTTGAGGTCTTCCTCTTCTGTGCTGTCCATCTACCCTTACAAACATGATGTCCTTTCTCTAGGGACTGGTCCCTCCTAGCCATATGCCAAAATATATGAGATGGCGCTTCAAAATCCTTGCCTCCAAGTCTAGTTCATCCTCTTCAGGATAAACCTGTTTGTTCTCTTGGAAGTCCGTGGTGTGTTGAATGCTCTTCTCCTGAACTATAATTCAAAGGCATCAATTCTCTTTCAATCCTCTCTAGTCATTGTCCAGCTCACAGAGCAAGTAATTGCGAAGACCATGAACTGAATCAGGTGTACCTTAGTCTCCAAACTGATAGCATTTAAGCACTTTTGAGAGGTCCCTGAGAGCAGCCTTCCCTAGAGCAATTAGTCGGTTTTGACTATTGGGGCCAAGAGTGTTGATTGTGGAGACGAACAAGTTGAAATTGTTAACAACCTCAGTCTCTTCTCCATTTATCTTGGTGCTGCCAATTGGCCCAGTAGTGAAAACCTTTGTCTTCTTGATGTTGGGCTTCAGTCCATATTGCAGACTAACATCCTCGATTTGCAACAAATGCTTCAGGTCCTCTTCAGTTTCAGCAAGCACAGTTGTGTCACCTGCACATCACAGGTCACTAATGAGTCTTCCTCCAATCCTGATGCCACATTCCTCCTCACAAAGTCCAGCCTTCCAAACGATCTGTTCCGCCAAATATAGAGAGATAGGATGCATCCTTGATGCACTCCTTTCATGATTTTGAACTATGCAGTATTTCCTTGCTTTGTTCTGAGGACTGCTTCCTGGTCCAAGCATAGATTTCATTTAAGCACATTCAAGTGTTCTGGGATTCCCATTTTTTCCAAGATTAGCCACAATTTGCTATAATCATGCAGTCAAATGCCTTTACGTAGTCAATGAAACACAGATAAACATTCCTCTGGTACTCTCTGCTTTCAGCCAATGTCCATCCAACATTGATGGTGATGTCTCTAGTGCCACAAAGTCTTCTAAACTCGGCTTGTATTTCTGGTAGTTCTCTTTCAAAGTACTCTTCTAGCTGTTTGTGGATAATCTTCAGCAGGATTTTGCTTGTGTGTGATATTAATGATATTGTTCAATATTTACACATTCTGCCACTTTTTAAAAAAATGGGAATGAATATTAATCT